GGGCAGGGTGGAGAGGGGGGGGGCGGACGGAGGAGAAGGAGGGAGGTGAGGGGGGGGGGGGGTCTCTTCTTGTGGATTTGGCGCTTTTTAAGGGTTTCCTCACCACTTTCTTTCTCCCTCGCTATCCAACCATCTCCTTGTTTTATGCTCCTGCAACCCCCAACACTGGATTTTTGTAAAAAAATCCCCGAGCTTGGATCAGCATAATCTATCACTATGCACATTGTAACTCAGGCCTCCTCCCTATCTCCACGCCGTATTGTCATGTTGAAATCGGATTAGATGGGAAGCCATTTGCCTCCTCTGTGTCGGCTCTGGACTTTTTTTTTTTTTTTTTGTATGTTCGCACAAGGAATGACAAAAAGCTTGCAGGCAGTATCACCATTGTGCATCTCAAGAGAATGGCGAAAAGGCGCGCAGTTTAAGTGAAGCATGTTTGGTTTGTATTCCTTGAAGACATTCAGGAGGGTCCAGCTTGAAGTCGTGGCAGAGAATTCAGAGCGTGTGCTCATGAAGTGTTGTTTGCGGATACCTCCGGGAATGGTTTTGCTGGCAGAGAGATCTGTCATGCTCGTGCATAAAACAACATGCTGTGTGCGTTTGGATTTCAAAAGGCTGTTAATGAGCCTGGACTGGCCAGGCCGAGAGTCAGGCCGGTGTTAAAGATGCAAAACAACACTGCTACAAGCTACACTCACTACACCTCCCGCATGCTTTTAACCCAATGGTGTTATCTCTGCATCTCATCACACAAGACACTTGACTGTTTTTAGTAATAAAACTAAACCGGCTTGTTTATTTACGATCCCAGTCTGGCGCTGAATGAGCTTTTGGGAAACATCTTTGCTCCCCCCCCTCCGTCTACTCCATTCACCCCTCTGATGTGTCAGCGATCAAGAAGATATTATCATAATTAGATCACTGGCACTGCATTAGGATTACACAAATCTGCCAACACCATTTCCACAAGCCATTTTATGGGTTACATGATGTTACCATGGGCCTTTCCCTCTTTCTTGCACACAAATATGTGCATCGACGGAGAGCCGATGTTCCATGAATTAGCCATGAGCTGGATGGACGTGAACTAGATTCCGGCTTTTAGAGTATATTTCTGCGGAGCAGCTGAGGCTCTGGGGGAGAATCAAGCATTACAGACTTCTGAGTGTACGGGATGTGTCCAACATTGTAGTTTCGACATCTTTTACCTTTCTCTGCTCTCTGTGGGATTACACAGCATTTCAATGGGATCGACCACAATAGCAGACAATGGTGTATCACTGCCTCAGCTTGAACAACAAAGGCGAGGCTCAGGGTACAACAGGCTAACAGGACTCTTATCTGCGAGAGCGTGCTCACCCTGATAAGTGCCCTAGGTTATCTCGTCCTTCCTTTTGTTTTTGTTCTCATTCGAGGGCTTCAAACTGCTTCTTTCCTGTTTTTTTTGTCTTTTTGATCCAACTGTTTCCAGTCCACAATGCGAACCCCTCCCATCGAGCCAGCACCAGAAGCACATTTGATCCCGCATATACATCACACATAAGTTTTCTTCCTGGTGCTGGCGGGGGGGGGGGGGGGGAAAAGAGGGAAAGGCAATCCACGTCCCAATGTCAGTCAAACCGCTCTTATCGCCTCTGCCATAATCGAGACGCTGCGGTTGGCCACCGATTGTGAAACCTAATGCAGAGAGAGCAGAGCGCACTCACTTTTCCTTCAAAACCACTTGCTCTCAAGTGCCTCTTGATTATATGTCTGCATGTAACATATCTGTGTGAAGCCCATCAGCCAGTCCGTCACCCAAAACCAAACCCACTCCCGTAAAAAAAGCAAAAAACTGAATCCCTTTCTGAAACAAGTCTCATCATCTTTCAGCACTGATGCATGTTTGATTTCTTATTTCTTTTTACTGGTCGGATGAGGGGGGGGGGGCCCACCATGCCGCGGCTATGCCTGAGTCAGCAAGGCAGATTGAGAGTGGTTTTATTTTGCTCCAAAGGCTGGGAGGGGGAATTTTGATTAGGTCCGACCACTTTGGAACATTACATCCAGCAATGAGGTTGAGGAAAGACAAGCTCGGGAAAGATGCATCACATAATGGAATTAACACGTTAATTTATAGGAAAGAAAATGTATTTAAAGGCTAATTTGAATGAAAATGATAAATAAATTAATGAAAGAAACATAGCAAGTTAGATGTAAGAAGGAAGAGCGCGAATTCAAGAGCCTGAGCAGAGGTGGGAAAACCCAGCTCCTAATATGGTTAAATTCAGGGTCGGCCATGTTTGGTGGAAATTCCTGTAAATGTTTCCCTGTGTTTGATTATGTAGTAAACAAGAGTTCTCTGTCAGAAGTGAGATATCTTATGAGTGAACATGTGGATGTTGGAGAGCTGCCTGCTCTAATACTGTAGGTTTTCAAGCCCTATAATAAGGCTAAACAGGCTCAGTGAGTCATTGATTGCAGAACACAGTACACCCCATCAACTTGATTACATTATGCAAGACGTTGCTCCACCTTACCCTTTTCCTAACCTCCTTTTTGTGCTTTTTTTTTTTCTCCTCCCAGGGAGCTGATGCCCAAGACTCTGGAGGGCCAGATCACCATGGAGAAAACCCCCAGCTACTTTGTGACCAGAGAGGCTCCAGCCAGGATCGCCGCCATGTCCCGGGACACCAAGCTGATCGTGGTAGTGAGGGACCCCGTCACCAGGGCCATCTCGGACTATACGCAGACGCTGTCCAAGAAGCCCGACATTCCCTCCTTCGAGAGCCTCACCTTCAAAAACAGGACTTCGGGGCTCATCGACACCTCGTGGAGCGCCGTCCAGATCGGCATCTACGCCAAGCACCTGGACAACTGGCTGCAGTACTTCCCCATGGAGCAGATCCTGTTTGTGAGCGGCGAGCGGCTGATCAGCGACCCGGCCGGAGAGCTGGGCCGCGTGCAGGACTTCCTGGGGCTCAAGAGGATCATCACGGACAAACACTTTTACTTCAACCAGACCAAGGGTTTCCCGTGCCTGAAGAAGGCCGAGGGCAGCAGCAAGCCCCACTGCCTGGGCAAAACCAAAGGGCGGACCCACCCCAACATTGACCCAGAGGTGGTGCAGAGGCTACGGGACTTCTACAGGCCCTTCAACATGAAGTTCTACCAGATGACAGGACATAACTTTGGTTGGGATTAATGTGAAAATCATAAAAGACAATTTTTTTTTTCCTTCTGTAATTCAATGGCAAGATGCTGAGATATTGCTATATATATGTAAAATGTACAGAAATCTATTTTATAATAATTTATTTTTATTTCTAAGCAATTAATTCACTAAGCTGCCTAACCATATTTGTACATAACATCTGGCCCACGTGTTTTTAACATTCCTCATTTTAATTTTGAATCCTCTCGCCTCCCTCCCTCGTGGTCCTGTAAACTCAGCGGCTTTATCGGTGCTTCGTAATACAGATAATCAGCAATGACTGAAGTAGAAATTAGGGTGGAAAATGAAAAAGCACCATATTACGGGTACAGAGTGCTCACAGAGAAGCGGAGAACACCGATCCATGTGCATCCTCATTCATATGCATCTATACCTTTTCAAACCCTCGCATTGTGAGTGTGATTCTTCTGTAACGTGTTTCACTGCAACACAGTTAAGTTTTCTGCAATCCAATTTTCCTGCACTGGCGTAGGCCTTAGCTGCAGATCTCATGTCCCTTTCCACTCAATAACAGTGAGATCAATAGGCCTAATTGATCCTCATTGTGTCACTCATGCTTAAAGTATACAGCTGCCCTTTCATTCTCAGTGCTCCTGCTGCCTGCTCTAATGAATGACCCATCCATCAAACGGTAAATCCTATCCCGGACCACATAAGGGCCCATGTTAACATTATGCTAATCGGGTAAAGGTAACTGGCGGATCGATTGGGCCTCCGCTCTCTAACTCCCCATTAGAAGCCGTGTTGGCTGAGAGCCAGGCTCTTGCCCTATCCGCTCAGTTCAAAGGTCACACAAAGTCTCAATCAAATTTCCTTGAGAGGCATTTGATTTGTAGAGCAGAGCCGAGCCGGAGCACAGAGGGTCAGGGGAAGGGTGTGTGCCTTGTTTTCACTGTAAGTAAAAAAAAAATAAATAAATGAAAGAAAAAAAAATCTTTGCATGAGGCAGCGGAGGCTTATCTGTCAGGAATCGAGCATACAGATAGAAAAGATGACAACAACTTGGCTTCGCCTCACTGAAATAGCGCTTCTTCAAACAGAAGTCCACCAGGCCCCATCTCAGATCCCAGACTAAAGAGATCAAAGGAAGAGGAAAGGTTTTTGTGAAGCACTCTCAGCACGGCAAGAATTGCCTCAGGCGGGGGAGGTGGGGGGGTTCATTGTCTAACCTCTCTAGTGTAAGAAAACCTCATGTGCCATCGTCCATGGCCTATATACTTTATGCCTTATTCACTCACCCTCACACCTCTATACTTGTTGCCAAAAAAAAAACCCAACCTCCGTGTTGATATTATGTTTCACACAGCTTGATTCGCTATCTCTGCCCCCCCCTCTTTGTTTTCGTCTTTCTACTTGAATTCTTGATATGCAAGAGGGAGAGAATGTGTAGTTATCATTCTTTCATGTGCTGCCCGATCTCTTTGCAGCGGGTGGCACGGTAATATATAAGGGTGCGGGGAGGCGGCCGTGCTATGCTACGCTGTGCTACGCTGTGCATGCTCAATGTGGTGGCCATCATGAAAATGCAGGGATAATGGGAAGGGATTATTAGCATCCAGATGAAGGGCTTCATGTGCTTAAAGCAGGGCCCAGACTGAATGTACACAACCTATCCTCACACTAAAAGACCCTCAAATCAATTTCAAAAGGTCAGATTGTCACTCCGTTTTTAGTTAAAAGTTACATTTGATTGTCTCTCTTTCTTTTTTTTTAAGTTAAGAAAATGCTGTGCCTCTTTAAATATCCAATACAACACAGTTAGCCTGCTCCTGTCATTAAGACGGAGTGAACCCAATTCAGCTATTTCTCTTCCATTTTCCAGTTGAAACCAGCTGCCTGGTTTAGCCTCAAACCAATGTTTGGGAGCAGGGGAGATGGAGGCTTGTTGTAGTTCTATCTTTTACTTTCACTCTGCCTGAGCGATGATACTCCTCGTGAGAAATTATGTAGAGAGAGCCTTCATCCCCCCTTCTCTCCTTCGTGCAATGTTTGATTATTAAAAAGAAAGCATTTATGATGACCTCTCTCGGCAAGCTGTCACACTCTGGAAGGACAGTCTGACATTTTCCCTGTAATTGATGGAGACCTGCATTTGAATTCCGGTCAAGTTCACGTAACTGAGGGGAATATATGAAAACAAACAAAAAAAAACAACTTCTTGCACTCATGGGTTTACTCTGTGTTGCTGCATCGGTTATGGTTGAGTTTTATTCAACCTGTTTTGAGATCTAAAAATGTTACAAATGTTTGTCTTACCCACATATAATATGTATTTAGACTAGCAGATCTGTATGTACAAAAATGAAACATGTAAATCAAGTATTTTGTGGTATGTACATCAAAGGAATTAATTTTACACAATGCAAAAGCAAAATGGAACAGATGTTTCTAGATGATTAAATACTGAACATTCAAAATATTTCTTTGTTTGAAGAAATAAATAAAAAAGTATATATTTTACCAAATCCTCTTGTGCCTGACTTTTATTTCCTTTCTTTTTTGTGGAAAATGACACCCTCAATTGTAAGCATTCATTAAAATCAACACTACCTTTAAGTCCTAAATTCATTACATCACGATTTAAGAAAGAAATAAACCCCATTAAAACTTCAATTTATTTCTCTGGATCATTTAGAGTAATTACAAACACATATATATATATATATATATATATCCAGAAATAGTATGCCCTCATTTGTATGTGTGATTGAAGTTTTAATGGGGTTTATTTCTTTCTTAAATCGTGATGTAAT